ATACTCTGTAACACTCTGTAATACTCTGTAATACTCTGCAATACGCTGTAATACTCTGTAATACTCTGTAACACTCTGTAATACTCTGTAATACTCTGTAATACTCTGTAATACTCTGTAATACTCTGTAATACCCTGTAATACTCTGTAATACTCTGTAATACTCTGTAATACTCTATGGTACTCTGTAATACTCTGTAATACTCTGTAATACTCTATGGTACTCTGTAATACCCTGTAATACTCTGTAATACTCTGTAATACTCTGTAATACTCTGTAATACTCTGTAATACTCTGTAATACTCTATGGTACTCTGTAATACTCTGTAATACCCTGTAATACTCTGTAATACTCTGTAATACCCTGTAATACTCTGTAATACTCTGTAATACTCTGTAATACTCTATGGTACTCTGTAATACTCTGTAATACTCTGCAATACTCTGTAATACTCTGTAATACTCTGTAATACTCTATGGTACTCTGTAATACTCTGTAATACTCTGTAATACTCTGTAATACTCTATGGTACTCTGTAATACTCTGTAATACTCTGTAATACCCTGTAATACTCTGTAATACTCTGTAACACTCTGTAATACTCTGTAATACTCTGTAATACTTTATGGTACTCTGTAATACTCTGTAATACTTTGTAATACTCTGTAATACTCTGTAATACTCTGTAATACTCTATGGTACTCTGTAATACCCTGTAATACTCTGTAATACTCTGTAGTTCTCTGTAATACTCGGTAATACTCTGTAATACTCTGTAATACTCTATGGTACTCTGTAATACTCTGTAATACTTTGTAATACTCTGTAATACTCTGTAATACTCTATGGTACTCTGTAATACTCTGTAATACTCTGTAATACCCTGTAAATCTATGGTACTCTGTAATACTCTGTAATACCCTGTAATACTCTGTAATACTCTGTAATACTCTATGGTACTCTGTAATACTCTGTAATACTCTATGGTACTCTGTAATACTCTGTAATACTCTGTAATACTCTGTAATACTCTGTAATACTCTATGGTACTCTGTAATACTCTGTAATACTCTATGGTACTCTGTAATACTCTGTAATACTCTGTGGTACTCTGTAATACTCTGTAATACTTTGTAATACTCTGTAATACTCTATGGTACTCTGTAATACTCTGTAATACTTTGTAATACTCTGTAATACTCTGTAATACTCTGTAATACTCTGTAATACTCTATGGTACTCTGTAATACCCTGTAATACTCTGTAATACTCTGTAGTTCTCTGTAATACTCGGTAATACTCTGTAATACTCTGTAATACTCTATGGTACTCTGTAATACTCTGTAATACCCTGTAATACTCTGTAATACTCTGTAATACTCTATGGTACTCTGTAATACTCTGTAATACCCTGTAATACCCTGTAATACTCTGTAATACTCTGTAATACTCTGTAATACTCTGTGGTTCCCTGCAGGCACGGCCCGGTGGGTCTGGTCCACGTTGACGCTCACGCTGACACCAGTGATGTGGTTCTGGGGGAGCGGATCGGACACGGGACCCCCTTCAGACGCTGTGTGGAGGAGGGGCTGCTGGACTGCAGCCGGGTGGTGCAGATCGGCCTGCGGGCATACTTGCCAACCTTGAGACCTCAGAAATCGGGAGCATTTCCAAAACCACCGGGGGGGGGGGGCTAGTGGATCGCCGGAGCTGTATTAGATTAACATTAACATGCTTATTGTAGTTGTAAGTGCACTGCCTTGCGGCCTGTAGCACCATATGTGTGGGCTGGACCTGTATTTTATAGGAAAGGAGTGAGCAGAGGGTAGAATTGTCGATTCTTGTTCTGTTTGCTGTGACTATCTTCCTCACCCTCTCAGACTTTCAGTTGCGCGCGCTACGCTACCATGGAAACCAAACAATGGTGTAGCTGTATTAAAGTCCGAGTGGAAACAGTCCTGAGTAAATCTGATTTTGTCAGAAATCGGGAGAAATGCGGGAGAAATATGACCCCGGGAGGAAACCGGGAGAGGGCAATGAAATCGGGAGTCTCCCGGGAAAATCGAGAGGGTTGGCAAGTATGCCTGCGGGGGTCCGGTTACTCCGCCGACTCCTACGCCTGGAGCCGTGCTCAGGTACCGGAGATCAATAAGATCTAGTTCTACTACTACTTCTGATGCACAACGCAGGTACCGTTACTTCCTGTAACACAGGTACTGACTAACTGACTGAGGCCCAATTCCAAACCTCACCCTACCCACTCCCCCTTGCAACCCCGTAACTTTTCGTAACAATGGTTTCAAATCAGCATTTCTTGGGTTAAGAATAAAAACAATGAACACAGAAGGTTTATCACAGGACAAGACACAGCTGGGCAGGGGAGGCAGAAACACAAAGAGACAATCAGACACAGGAGGGCAAACACAGGAAGGAAGACCAGACACAGGGAGAACAGAATTTCAAAATAAAACTGGAAACTAAACACACAAAACTAATATATAAGAATCGTGACAGGGTTAGTGTGTAGGGGGCAGAGATGGAGTACTCGAGTCCTGGACTCGGACTCGAGTCGGACTCGAGTGTCGATTTTCGGGACTCGTGACTCGACTCGGACTCGCACACTGATTGACGCGACTCGGACTTGGACTCGTGAATTCTCGCACACGATGACTTGGACTCGGACTCGGACTCGTGAATTATCGCGTACGCTGACTTGGACTCGGACTCGTGCATTTTCCCCCCCACGATGACTCGGACTCGACTTGTACATTGACGCTCCGACTTGGACTCGGACTCGAGCAAGTTTTCTATGGAGTCTGATGTCCTCTATCCTGGCGTGTGCACCGGCTGCGAGGTGAGTTCACGTACTGGACCCCGCTATTCCAGTCTAAAGATGTCTATTGACACACCCCGCATGTGCTTTCACACATTCTGCTTCCACATTGGAAAAGAGCAGCGCAAAATGCTCTATGTGGAAACAATATTGAAGAGAAGGCTCCGTAACACATTACTCTAAACATCGAGTTCAGACATATAGGCCGTCTTGAACACTATCATCAGTAACGTGATCTAATCAATAAATAAAGATTCAGCCGATAACACGAAAGCACACGGCTACTTAACATGCAGAATGACGTCATTTTGCATGCTAAGTAGCCATGTGCTTTCTGGGGCTAAATCTTTATCAGTAAACCGATTTAACCGGTAAAAGTTCCTTCAAAATAAGAGTCCCGATCTTATTACTATCAAATAAAAGTGCAAAACGAAAACTTTACCATAGGAAATATTGGCATACAAATATAATCACTTCTCTAAAAGGTAACTCATTTTAAACATAGTTTATTTATATATAATAATAATAATAATATTAATATTAGTAATAAGCTTTATATTTGTATAGCACCTATTACAAGACTTGTAGCCAAACTGGCTTCACAGCAGTTCAATAGACAGATTAGTATAACATGACAGGATGAAAGCAATGTAGAGGAGCAGCTACATTTCAACACATATATCCACGAAGATTAATACATGAAGACTTGTGACTCGGACTTGACTTGGACTCTTCTTAGGTGACTCGGACTTGGACTTGGACTCGAACACAGGTAATGATGACTCGGACTCGACTCGGACACTCCTTGGGTGACTCGGACTTGGACTCGGACTCGACTACGACTCTCCCTTGGTGACTCGGACTTGGACTCGGACTCGAAGAGTGGTGACTCGAGAGTGACTTGGACTCGTGAATTGGTGACTTGACTACAACACTGGTAGGGGGCGGTTTGGAATTGGGCCTGACTGACTGTGAGTGTGTGTGTGTGTAGGGTTTCCGTGTAGTGCAGGTGGAGGAGTGCTGGTTCAAGTCTCTGGCTCCCCTGATGGAGGAGGTCAGGGGTCAGATGGGAGGGGGTCCGGTGTACCTGAGTTTTGATATCGATGCTCTGGACCCCGGCTTCGCTCCGGGCACCGGGACCCCCGAGATCGCCGGGCTCACCCCCATACAGGTAGACTACTGTAACTACTGCTTACTGCTATATTACATCGGTTCTTATTTGACACTTCTATATATACTACCACTTCTACTGGATTTATAGTGGGGGGAAAAAAGGGAGAATTCTGAGATTTTTAGAAAGAAGTCGGAATTTAGAGATTTTCCGAAAAAAAAAGTGAGAATTTCAGAAAAAGGGAAAATTCAGTGATTTTCGGAAAAAGTCTTATTTTGAGATTTTTCTGAAAAAAGTGATAATTGTGATTTTCAGAAGAGCATGTTTCTCCTGTCGGCCAGCATCGTTTTTAGATGATTCTGATTTATTGTTCTGTTTTCAGGGAGTGGAGATAATCCGCGGCTGTCCGGGGTTTGAACCTGGTGGGCTGTGACCTGGTGGAGGTGTCTCCCCCCTACGACACCACCGGTACTACACACTCTATTTCATCATTCATATATTGAATTATGTTTAAATCATTATATTTATATATTCCCCCCCCCCTCAGGAAACACGGCGCTGACCGGAGCTAACCTCCTGTTCGAGATGCTCTGCGTCCTCCCCAACGTCAAATACCTCTGATTCTAATCAATAACATCAAGTCTTCTTTAAAGATAGAAAGAGGGTAACTCTGCATCAATTACAGATGTTTCATCAATAAACAGTAAGTATTGTTTACAGCCAATGAGAGGACAGATGCTCTACTGAAGAGGATTCTAGTCTCATAGTCTTTGAGATGAATTATAATATCATTCTGTGCTTTATGAATGAAATATAAGATGTAATTAAAATGTAAAAAGTATCTAATGAATGTGCAATATTTACATAAAACACTATATCAATGGAGTTACAGTTTAATAAATACTAATAATACACTGAGTTTCATGTGTGGGTCACTGCCCTCATCCTTTGACTTCTGTTTCATCATTTCCATTGACTGGGCTCTGGTTTCAGACGGAGGGTGAAAAGAGGAGCTGCAGCTCAGGCAGTATGAGAAACATAATGTGCCGTTACGTAGAGACAACAACCAATAACATCGAGAGAGTCACCGTGAAGGTGTTTTTATTTACACCAAAACAATAACGCCAACAACTTAAGTGAATAAATATAACAGAAAGACCCATCTCTAGATCTCCTCTCTGAAACACACCTCAAACAAAGAGCCCCCCCCCCCCTCACTATCTGGTCTACTAACAAGGAAACAAAACATTTACAGGGGGGGGCTTCAATCTACTAACCTAGTGTTTCTAATGGCGCATTTCCACTACACTGCCTCGCTCGGTATGGCTAGGCCTCGTTAGGCCTGGCTCACTTTATGGCGCATTTCCATTACAGTTTAGTAGCTGGGGTAGTTACTATAGTAACGCAGTGTAGGCGGAGCCGTGACGTCATCTTCAATGAGAACCCCAGAAAAACAACACAGCCGTTAGCTGTTAGCACTCAGAGCTCACAGCTCCTCATATCTGTTCAGAAACTAGACAAAAGTTAAACAAGTACAAACCACAGACTGTCTGTGTCATGGTGAATACAGTCGCTGCTTTATTTATGTCTGTATAGGCCGTTGTTGTGAGTGTGGACGGTCGGAGCATATACTGCGTTAGCTTAGCCAATCTCCATTCAGAAAACACGCATTTTAAAAGTTGTTTCGCCTGCCGTCTGTCTGCAGACTTGTCAAAGCATTAATTCATGGTTTTTACTAACCGGTATCAGTATGTTGTTACTTCATCATTTTGAAACGTGTATTACAATTAAATCACGGTCAAATATGTTCATCTTGTTGTAGTTGTAGCCCCCTTGCCAGCGATTCTCTCTCTAGTTTAGCATACTCAGCCCGACTCAGCCTCGTTGTTAGCCCGGAAAGAACCTGTGAAATAGTACCCGCTAGCCGGAACTACGCCAAACGCAACCAAAAACGGGTGGGCACGGCACGGCACGCTTAAAGCGAGCTCCGCGCTGTAGTGGAAATGCGCCATAACACAGTTTACCTGTGATGTAGAGGGTACCCCAAACCTACCCTAACACTCCACCTCCCACCTCACACACATTCAACAACACTCAGAACCAGAGGCCTGTACTACGAATCCAGTTCAACCTAACCTGGATTTGAGTTACCCGGTTTACCTAATCCAAAACAAACGCGCTCTCGCTAAGCGATCCTACGACGCTGGTTATCAACTCGTTAACTCAAGCCAGGGTTTCTCTGTCCTGCTGAGTGCGCGTTCACATGAAAGGGGCGGGGTTAGCAACATTTGACCAATCAAAAACATGGAGAAGCGTACTGACAGCGCAGCGTCATACTTCCTGAATGAAAAGTGAACTTTAATATTAGACATATGAAGACGTTAAAGTTTAAACATCCATGACTTAAACACTTTATCCAGGATCAAAGCCACATAGCTGCACCTGCAAGGTGAATACAGCTGGTAACAGAACAAGTGTTTGAATGCGTACATCAGTAGCGTAGGCAGAAAGGTACTTTAGGGTGGGCCTGTAACAATTAGGGTGGGCCAGATTTTTCATCTGCGCATCAGAAGCTAACAACAATCCCCGCCGGTACCGCCAGTGCACCCTTTCTCTCTCTTGCTCCCACTCTCACTCGCCCTTTGGCTGTGAGCTGCGGGCGCCTGATAAGCCAACATCCCCCACTTTCATTACTTACAGCGCCCATCGTACAGGGCAAATGGAAAATGGAACCGGGGTGAAAAGGGTGTTATCTTTACTTAATTATGAATGTTGTTACATCAAGGCCGAAAATGAGTTTATTTTGTATTATGTTTCAATTTAATCTTGTGGACGTGCAGATTCCCTGTCCTCCACCAGGGGCTGCTGCAGCCCCTCAACACCCCTACTTCCCACGGCCATGATAATAATTTATAATAATGCCCATTGCCAAGCATCGTTATGTAACTCTTTTATTGCACTAGGTTACAGCAACAATAGGTCGGAACAGATAACAGATTGATATTATTATGTTATATTAATAAATATAGTATGAACAGCTCTAGTGCATTCAAGGCAAAGCTAGTAGAGAGCCCCCTAAGAGCTAAGCATGGAAAGTGATACGCATGCTGATAACATTGAGTGTAAAATGTAAATGCTCAATATGTTGTGTAACAGTTGTACTAGGGTTTAAACTTTGTACAGGTATGAAGGCTTCACAGACAGTAGTGGGGAGGGAGAGTTGCTTATGTGAAATGAGGTCGGACTCGTACACATAAATATAGATAGTGTTACGACCCGTCCTCTACCAAGTGGTAGTGGCTCGTGGGAAGACCATACATAAAATAAATCACACAAAACACGCAGCACTTATCGGCGAGCATTTATTTAAGAGCACAGCCGTTACTTACATGTACCCACCGGCAAATGAACCACGTCTGGAGGACGGCAAAAACAAACAAAAGGAAGAAGGGGGCCTGGGCCAGCCAGTCCACTGGCCGTAGGACCCAGAACTTCCCTCCTCTACCCAGAGATCTAACAGAAAAAACCCTACGGGAAAAATAAAGCCACGAGAAAACCTACACTAACAGGTCCTCCAGAATTCACACACATAGTAGCAACAAAAGGAATCTACAGATCCAAACGGCATGAGAGAGATTGTTCACGGTCAGAGACTACCGGCATCGGGGGAAAAGGGGCCCTCTTCTCCTCCAGCTTCTCCTTTTTAAGCCCCCAGCTGAATAGCATTAGGACACCTGGGGGAGGCGGAGCCAGGGGCGGACCAGGGTTGCATTCGAATAGTCCATTTAGCTTAGGAACCTTCCTAACGGAGTGAAATGACCCGGAAGTCCCTCAGTGGCAGCCATGATAAGTGCCGTTCGAATTCTCTAAATTAAAAGGAAAGGAGGTTTCAAACTTCCTTTATAACCTCCTTTAGCCTAGGAACCACTGGACCTCCCTAACCGAAAGGAGAGGAGAAAATGCTGCCCCACAATGCCTTGCGGCCGCAGCATTTGCCGTCACACAACAGTCGGCCGTTCACGGAAACAACCGATTATGAACGAGAAATGATATCATGAAAGTTACGGTGCTTATTAAGCATTTTAAAACGTATGTGGTAAGTTGCCAAAGTGCTTTGTTTTGAACGTTCATCAGTATTATAATCAAAAAGAGAAATATGAACGTTAGTTTTGACTGAAATGATCAAATAAAGTCAACATTTCACAGTCTTTACTGAGCTGTGTGGGGTTTGTTCAACTTTTAAAAGATGTTTGAATGGTGATATACACAGTGATAGATGTTAAGGACTAACCGTTATAATAAATACATTTGTATTGATTTTAAGATCTTTTCATACAATCATACGTATTGGGATCATTTGTATTAATGTGGACCGGAGGGAGAGGGTGACGAGCATAAGTTTCACTTTCCTTTTTTATTTCAATTCCAACTTTGGTCATGAAGAATATGTTTCTCTGTTGTCCCCGTTCATAAAGCATAAAACAACAGCATCAGAGCACGGTGCAGAGTCTCTAGATGAGTTTACAGTAGTCCCTCGTTCTTATTAAACATCCATGTTGTAGTCCGCTGTATAGAAAACTGTAGTTTCCATAGTTTCCCCACAGCAGCAGGCGCACATTCATGACCTCTGCTGGCGCATCATAAACACGTCGGATAGTGAAAGTGCAGTCGGATTCTCTAAAGTGCCGCAGTCTCTTCTCCTAAATCCTTTTGAATTCTCCTATCCACTATCCCTTAACCCCATGACGTTTCACTCCGAGGTCAAGGAATAGACGATAGGGTTAGAACTTAGGAGCTGTTTTTTTGGAGTATTCGAACGCAACCCAGGTGTACCTGCGCAGCAGAGAGACAGAGAAAAACAACAACAAGAGCACGTAACAATAGCAACAGTTAAAACGCATTTCTATAGCCTCATAGTATTTGTAGACTTATCCATTCTGAGCTGCCACTACAGGTGCGGGTACCGGTGATGTCCTTAGGAGGGAGGAAGTGAGTAAGGGGAGGAGAGTCACCACCAATATTAGGCTGTGGCCTTATTAAACAAGGCGTAAACGCCTGGGTTTAACGTTGAATATGGTGTCTTATGGTGATGATCTCATCATAATCCAAAGAGTCACATAGTTCCCTTTCAAAGGACAAGAGGGACAGGTTGTTGAGACGGACAGTAGTCATGGATGCTCTGAGGGAGGTTTTGATGCGACCTACAGTGGAGAACAGTCTCTCAACACTACAAGAGGTCATGGGAAGGGATAATGATGACTCAAAGGAGTTTGTTGAAGTTTGGAAAAATGTCAGATGCACAGCTGTCCAATACTTCCATAAGGGATGGAAAGTTTTGTTTTTGGGCTACTTTCCGATTCAGTTGCTCATAGAATACAGTTAATTCCGCATCCCCAACTAAGATGTGATAGTGATCACACACGGTGCACAGAGAATCCTTCTCGCCAAATGTTTTTGACTTTGGTAGAATAGCTGCTGCTGTTCTCATTATTCCATACTGGTCCTCCTGGAAACGGGCGTCGAGCTCTGTCAGCTGCCTGTGGGAAACAAATCACAATGAGGATAGTCTATAGCCAAATGTAGGCTATGCATACAGTAAAGAGCAAATGATAATAAATACAGTAAGAGCAAACTAGGGTACTGCAAGACAAGAGAGCTTAAACTATTAGATATAAATATTTACATTGAAGAATAGCATAATGAAAGAAGTGATATTATGCTAAATGTTATTCCATTAAAGAGTTGTGCAGGAAAGTGCAGAATAAAACACAAGCTATGGAATGTGTCAAATAAATAAATAATGTTAGGTCAATAAATTAGGCTATAGGCTATGTATCATTTAATAATGTATTCTTACCTGTCGAGTATGTCATTCCAGGTGCGTCTTACACTGTAAAAATCAACCTATAAGATCTACTCAATAAAAGTGAGGTAACAATTTGCACACACTTCTTTTGAGTAGATTTCACACAATGTTTTTAGGTAAAGATTACTAATATTTAACATATAAGACTCACTTTAAGTCAAATCTAACTCAATTACTTAATAAAACGTATTACTTATAAATGAGTAATATTTACTCCTAATCGTAGGCAGCTATTTACTTAATAATTTTAAGTAACAATTGATCCATATTACAAATTAATATTACTTTATTATTAAGGTTACCAGTAAACAATATATTGCCACACAAGATTTTATTGATCATGTTTTTTTTTATTGACCAAATGATCAATTTTTTAATGTCATACATTGAGATTATTTTATTATTTTATTTAAACAGTTAAGTGCATTTCAATTGTTAACACTGAGCAGAAACTTCAAAATAGTCATACAATCACATTGTTTTAACAGTAAAGTGCATGGAAATTGTAAACATTTTGAACATAATCTTCCAAGTGCAATTTACTCAACTATGAAAACCTTCACGTGCCAGTAAACAGTCCACTTTGAACAGAAAAAGGTTTCTCCAATGACATTGTTGAAAGCTTGGACGCAAAGAGCTACTGTGCTGCCCTTTTTATAGACTTATCCAAGGCATTTGATACTGTGGACCATGGCATTCTATGCCAGAAGTTATCTCATATAGGCCTGTCTGACCAAGCTGTTGGTTGGTTTGCAAACTATCTTTCGAATCGCAAGCAATGTGTAAAATTCAGCGGTCTCTCCTCAAGCTTTCTTAATGTGCCCAGAGGTGTTCCTCAAGGTTCGGTCTTGGGACCGACCCTTTTTACTATTTATATAAATGATGTGGGTAAAAGCATTGATGCCTCTGTACATCTATATGCAGATGATACTGTTGTGTACTGTTGTGCTAGCACTGTTGCCCTTTGAACGTCTGCAGTCTGCTTTTGACACTTTTCAGTCACATCTGTTCCACCTTAGGTTGGTGTTAAACTCAGATAAGACAAAAGTCATGTTGTTTTCCAATAAGAAAAGGTTACCAGCTGTTCTTCCCTGCATCATGTCTGCACAGCATAACCCCATTGAAGCTATTAACACCTACAGATACTTAGGCATCACTATAGATGAAAATCTCTGCTTCAAACCATATATTGACAATCTCTTAAGGAAATTGAAATTAAAACTGGGATTCTTTTTTAGAAATAAGGCCTGCTTCTCCACAAATGCGAGGAAACGGCTTGTACAGATGGAGCGTCTTATTTTGGACAGTTTAAAACGCGAGGGTCGTGATTGGTTCGTGCACGTTCCGTGATGGCCGGCCGGCCCCCAGTCTGACTTGATACCGCCCCCATGATAAATACATTTAATTATTGTGAAGCCAGCTGCAATGGATCATTGATCCACCAGGGGGTGCAGTGGGGTTCCACACTGGAGTCATGTGTGGAGTCTTCGACAAACTGGATGTACAGTATGTCTGGTACTAATGTATAGCGGATCTTTGTTAAGATCCATATGTCACGGATAGGATCATAGTCTGTGCTAAATAAGACATGTAATCATTTACAAAACATCACCATGTTGTTATTTAACAAAATAATGTTGTTTAGTCGAAAAAAAACGAACGAGCCGGCTCTCCCGATTTTTAATCCTAATTTAATCATCATCATTGATGTTTATGTTCGCCGAATTGACATGAAATCACTGACAAATATGAATATTCTGTATTCAACTTCATTGAAACGATCAGGATGGGTGTTATTTTTCCCCACAATGACCAAGTCGCTGCAAATTATAACGAAACATTCTGTATTCCTTGCTTACTTCCTTAAACCTTTTCTCCTCCTTATCTCTTTCATGACTTTTTATTTAATGCTTTTGAATGTTTTGAAATTATGAATGTACAGTAAGGCATATTAATCATAGATAACACGGCAGGGTCCGTTACAGTTTGTTTTCATCTGATTTCAAATATTTAAAATGTCTGAAGTTAATAAATACATTCTCAGTGTTCAAATCAATAATAGTCATATAAGAAAAGTACTGATCTAATAACAGAGATTTTATAAGGACTTTTCAATGTTCGACATCGCTCATGTGAAATACAGTAAACTGGATGTTGTGGTGCCGAGAGACGGGAGTCGGAGGCGGGGTATCAAAAGTACAAGCTAAACTTTTATTTAGCATCTGAACACACATGTAAACAACTTCATGCCCGGGGAAGCGAAGACCCGGCGGAAACAGCTGGTCTGGTTCACTAAAATGTCCGGGCGGAACAATACCCCAACCCATAGATCCGTGGGTGAATAATGTCAATCATCACAATGTACAGTATGTCTGGTACTAATGTATAGCGGATCTTTGTTAAGATCCATATGTCACGGATAGGATCATAGTCTGTGCTAAATAAGACATGTAATCATTTACAAAACATCACCATGTTGTTATGCGCATGTGCGAGATGTTATGCATGTGCGCATGTTATGCGCATGTGCGAGATGGTCCGCCATATTGCACAACTCCGTACGGCAACCCAACTAGGACACTTGACGTCTAGACCGTCTAGACGGCTGGCCAATATGCGAATATGCATTGCGCATGCGCGAGTCTTATGATCTTATTAGGTGAGTTAGGTGAGTTAATTATTAGTTGTTCAGTGGCGAGCCGTCAGGGCCCTCTGTGAGGGCCTAAGATATTCCAAAAAATAATATTTAAAAACATTAAAAAAATATATATTTTTTTTAAATATATATTTTTTTTAATATTATTTTTGTTATATTTTTCATTAGTTTTACCGAAAAAAAACTTGATTTAATAAAATAACATTTCCAAAGAAATAAATCCTTCGAATCTGCCTGTTCAGTCTCTGTTTGAATGTCAGTTACTATAGCGGGCCTCTCTGCGATTCACAGAGGGTTGCTATAGTAACTGAACGAGAGAGTAATGTCAAATGACAGTACAATTGACCAATCATATCTTCCCTCTAAATGGGTGGGTTTTATAGAGTGGCGAAGTCCCTCCCACTTACTTCCGGGGTATGGGACCTTATTTCGGAAAAATTATGCATTGAAGTCAATGGGGAGAGAAAACTTATCTTTCGATCCCGTTTGAATTGTGCCATGAATTACACATATGATGTTTGTCAATCTTAAAAAATCATTTCCATGTCAAAAAAGTCACAGTTTGTCTTAAAACTGTTGAAATATAAGACTTTGAAAAATACGAAACTAGAAAGACTACAAATCCCAGAGTCGCGTAAGTGATGTCACAATTGAGACACTACGATATACGTATAATACCGTATATATACGATCAGCGCCATATAGATAGAATCTATCTATATGGCGCTGGCTAAGATAAGATAACTTTGTGCCTGTGTGCTTAGTACCAGGTTGTTATTATACCAGCAATGGGTCTTGCTCGTTCTTTCGCTTCCCGTCTGATGAAAGAGGAGTGTGTGGATCAAGTTAGCTACCTAGCTAGTAGCTAGCACGTTAGTTAGCATTACAGCCTTGTCATTTTTATTAGCCTTAACATGAAGTAACATTAAGTGACCCAAAATGTTAAACAGTAAGAGTAGTAGTCATATTTCGTGAACCCTTTGAATAGTACTGTCACCGGTGTGATCATTCTATAATACACAATTTAAGCCCGGGGGAGAAATGCTAACGCTAACGCTAGCGATCTTCTCTACTTCATGCTATCTGCACAAATGGTTGACATTAAACATTAAAAGGACCAGGCAGTTCAGAGAGAATCAAAGGAAGGCAGGCAGGCAGCTTTGCATGACATTCTTCAGGACGTGTTTCATTGTGGTGATAGTGAGGGTAGTCTCTTGTGTTGACAAGACAGTAGTGACGGCCATCTTGGTGACGTGTGTTGTTGACCAGAGATGTAGTTCTTTGAGCGTTTCACACAAACAAATGTGTTACTTCACAGTTTTACGACACATTTTTTTTTTTTTGACTTGCAAAATTATCTTTTAAATTGACAAACATCATATGTGTAATTCATGGCACAATTCAAACGGGATCGAAAGATAATCTTTCTCTCTCCATTGACTTCAATGCATAATTTTTCCGAAATAAGGTCCCATGGAGGTCCACCGGAAGGGGAGGGACTTCGCCACTCTATTATCGCGGACTTTATGACGAGTTCCGCCCGCTGTGAAACTTTTCTTGTTTCCATAGCAACAACAACTTCCTGTCAACAGCGTGAACTCGCCTTCAAAATAAAAGCATGCCAAATTACACTTAAGACATACAACTGCAACGAAAGTAACAAACACAATGCAATATCATTTTCAATGTCAAAGAACACAAATTGGGTTCACAGGTGTTGTTCTGTGTGGTAGAGGGTCGCTGTCATTGATGCGTTTTGCACCCTGGGCCGTTGTTTTGATATTCCGCTGAAGTATACGCTGTGACGTAATAACGTCTTTTTTTCGGGTGGGGGTCAGAGGGCCTAGGTATAAAGCTCACGGCTCGCCACTGTAGTTGTTAGTTAATTAGGTGAGTCTTATTAGGATATTAATGCCATACATTTTTGCATACATATGTATTCAGTATGATAGCTGTCTAACAGAAGTTAAATCCATTTCTCACTTATTCTGACAATGTACTTAACCCCAAATAAAAGAACCCAATTGAAATAGTTGTTAAATAATGGGTGAAGTCACGTTGTAATAACAATAATGTAATAACTCATCTCTCTCGGTTTTTTTAGTTTTCTTTGTGTGCTTTGCCAAAAGCCACTGTGTCAAATGTCCTAGTTGGGTTGCCGTACGAAATTAAATAATAACATGTTCAAAGTATCAATAATGTGTAACATTCCCCAGATATTTTAGACACTCTTCCTTACATTTTTAACAAAACAATAACATAAATTGCAAAATAATTAATTTTTTTCACTCCTTTCACTTTTTGATTCTCTTCCAATCTGAGAAAGTCCTTTCATAACGGAGACCTCTAAACAAAGTCTTGGCTTTCAGAATATTAAACTTGTTTCGGCAAATTTAGATGATAAATACAACTATGAAGCTTGTAACGGCATAATTACTTAAGCGGAGAACGGAGTAAGTTAACGTTACAGCAGGCATAACAACAGCCAGTGTTTATTTTATTATAATATATAGTCGTTATTCATTTGTTTTAAAGCTCAATAAGGAAGATTTTAACTTTCACACACGTTGACCGGCGAAAAACTCTGCCCGGTTCACCGACCCCCCTCTGAGTGAATACCTGTTAACTTAATTGTTAACACAATAAAAATGATAACAAGAAAAGTTCATGTTTTATCAAGATGATGGGTTTCCCTAACGCTCAGAGTCGCAACGCGCTCCTACAAGAGATCGTGATAGCACATTCAGGATTAAATATTACCCGATGTGATGTTTGCTCAAAATGAGACATGCTGTATTTACCACTTGTTGCCTTTGCTGCACAGATGGCACGCAAACAAACATGCCTACAGTATATTTTAATAAAGCTAGACTGTCACTGATTGTTGTTAACAGCTTCAGCTAAGAGCATTTAAAATGTGCATCGATTTACAGCTATTGTTCCCTTTAAACGGGGGGGGGGGCCTCTCTGCACGGAGGAGCCGAGGAGAAGAGACACACGTTCACTAAGCCGAATCACAGTGATCTGCTATTTTAAAGTAAATTCAACACATATCGACCCTAAATATAGCATATATTAAGAACGAGAAAGTGTTAACATCGTTTTTTGTAAAAATATGACAAATGTGCGAGGGTGATGACATCAGAGCATCGTCCTATGGGCTTAGCCCCAGACAGGTACAACAGGTATTCACTCAGAGGGGGGTAGTTATCCATTTACATGTCAAAAAGCAACATACAGTAGGTGGGTGGGGGATGGTGAACGTTTACATTTATCTACAGAATACATTTAATTTAAGGGGAGCAGTTACTGAGAAGTATATAATGAGAACTACTACCAATGGTGGCCTATTTAGTTTATTAAGAAATACACTTTTTTGATCTGGCCGATAACTCTGAAGCATGGATTTTATGAATATAGCAACAACAACAACAACAACAACTCAAGAGATTCACTTTGTGTTCATTATGCATACAGTATAACTCGCCACCAGCCACTACTGGGTAACAACCATAAGCTGAAAACTTAACTGATGTTAAATACTGTTCAGTTGGGATTAAGGTTGTCAGTATAACAGCAGTCAATCTTGCCTCCTGCTTCATTATTTATTTAAAATGTGTCATAATCATAGCCTTAGGTGCTGTTCCTGCGACCCAATGTCTATCTCTCAGAGGAGATGCAGTCATGATGGCTTAACATTCCCACATACTGGTCTTTGGCAGGTCTTAGGCAGGTAACTGGCTGGTAGTAGGCAGGAAGCTGTATGCTGGCGTCCGAAATAAGATGCCCCATCTGTAGCTGCCACATTTTTGCCGCTCTTGGACTACGGGGATGTTGTGTACATGAACGCCTCAGCTCACTCACTTCATCTGCTGGACGCTGTCTACCATGGGGCTCTGAGGTTCATAACAAACTGTAAACCCCTCACACACCATTGCACGCTGTACTCTTTAGTCAACTGGACATCATTATCAATGCGCAGATCACTGCACTGGTACAAATTCATCTATACCGCCATGCTTGGACTGCTGCCCCTCTACATATCCACTTACATATCACACAAACCGTACAGCTATAGCCTACGATCTCAACATGACATCACTCTGTCCGTCCCCTCAGTTCGCACGGTGCTTGGAAAAAAAACCATATCATACTCTGCCCCCTCGACCTGGAACACACTTCAGCAGGAACTTAAGCTGACCAGTTTGATACCCATCACGGATTTTAAACTCATTTTAAAAAAGCTGGAGAAATCATCTGTGGGTGTTTGCACCTGCTATATCTGAATACTTTATATGGATTTCAATGACTACTTTGTTACGATGTTGTATTTTATTGTTGCCTCTGTGTTTAGTGTCCTGTCTGTCTGTAACTTTGTGTGGTAGTGTAACCACTGACAGGTCTCTCTTGGAAATGAGACCTTGTGTCTCAATGAGATTGTACACCTGTATAAATAAAGGCTAAATAAAAAAAAGTTGTCTAAATGCATCCTTCTTGTTTCAAAGGTTTCCCCCCTACACTAAATGACCCATTCAGCAAGTAAATGGACTTCTGTTTGAAGTAAACTGCTGAAATAAAAGACTGGAAAGTAAAGCTGTGTCTTTGGAGTGGAATCCTGTTCAAAGTCAGTAGATGCCTCAAGTCCCTTTCAAGTGGGGAAACTGCACCAAAATCAGAGGAGACTTGACTATTGCTGATGATGACAAGGAGCAAGAGTTCAACTTTGTTGATGCACTAAAAACTGAATCCTCTTCAGGTCAGGTTACAGTAGAAACAGATCAATCAATAGTTTATTTAAAGAGCAGCTTTTGATCCATGACTGTTCACCTGATTAAAGATTTTTAGAGTTTTTGAGTCGTGATTGTGGGTTAGTTAGGGTTCTGTTGTTAAAATTCATTTGAGTGTGAAAGGTTTTACATATTTGTATTTTGTTTGCTTAAAGGTAGGGTAGGTAAGTTTGAGAAACAGATGACATTTTTAAATGGATTTTTTGTCAAAGCACTTAAAGTGGACCTATCATGCTATATTTAAATTATATATTGTAGGGCCATACCTATTTATACGTTTCTGTTTTCAAAATACCAAACAGATCATGCATTTTAGCCATGCCTCATTTCGCTCTATGTGCTGTTTGCTGTCTACGGGTCTGATTCTGCTGACCACGCCCCCCTGCAGGAGAGGGGAGACGTGCTCTGATCAGCTGCTGGGCTGTCAGAAGAGGGGGAGAAAAAGAGATCTCCGTCCTCCGTGTTTTATTATATAGAGTCGTTATTCATTTGTTTTAAAGCTCAATAAATAACAAAGAAGACATCTTGACCGGCGAAAGAAACTGAAACTGAAACTCTGCCGCACGGTCCCCTCGTTCCTTGGAAGAGGCGGAGAGGTGGGTGTTTGTCATCTGCTGGTGGACTAACCGGAGAGAATTACAGTGCTTGCCTCGACGGGGAGGGATTGCATTGAATTAAAGCAGCGGGAGCAAACGCTTGCCTCGGGGAGGGAGAAAGAAAGCCACAGCGGAGAATAAACAGAAGGGTAACCATGGTAACTATGGGCGGGAAGTCTTCTTCGCTGCTTTTGTGGCAGACTACAACGCCACTTACTGGCCTGGCATATGTACTACAGCGTCTCCAGCGCTTTGGAACGGCAATGGCCGTGGCTGTCTCCTCCTGATTGGTGGAGTTGGCCCAATAGCCGTAGCGCCACCGTCCTGACGTCAGGACAGTGGCGCTACGGCTATTGGGCAGAGTGTTCAAATCTGGATCAGTTTTGATCAGATCCGCTGCAGCCCCTTTTTTAGAGATTTGGGTATGGAGGAAAATAGAGAGGGTTGTGTTTTCTGACACTTGGTGAGTTCCCTGGAACACCGGGGACACATATTCATGTAGAAAAGACGTACTAAAGTGCATTTTGCATGATAGGTCCCCTTTAAGATATTCATTGCTATCGGGATGTTGTTCCATGGAATATAACAAAAAGTGTATCTCGAGCCGGTTTCTCAAACTTACCTACCCTACCTTTAATTTAACACAAAGTCCAACATGTAGAGTGTGAGGATGATTTCACTGGTAGATCATTTACTATTGCTGATGATGACAAGGAGCAAGAGTTCAACTTTGTTAATGTACTCTACTGGGTTTCATTAAACAGTTTAGATTATCAGATACCAACAAAACAGAATCCTCTTCAGGTCAGGTTACAGTAGAAACAGACTCTTACTTTGTGTCTGAGGGTCCAGGTTCATTACTGAAGGTTATAGGTTTCCCCATAGACCGGTCACTCTTCAGAGACAGACAGCTGGTGAGTGATCTTTTAAATCACTCATCTACACACACACACACACACACACACACACACACACACACACACACACACACACACCACACACACACACACACACACACACACACACACACACACACACACAATAACAAACTTGTTTCAATCTAAACCATATTAATAATAAACTAAGGCTAAAATACATGAAATCAGTCAGACTTCAGGTCGCTCTCCATTTTGACTGCGTCACATGTTATGTAACTCTGAAGAATCAGAAAACAGGAAATAATAAATGTTTACAACACTTGCAGAAGTCTCATTGGACTCTAGGACGCAGATTTTTAACCAATAAGTTATTTTCTGACATCCAGTATAACAGAGTAAATAATGAATGTGTTAGAAAGCAGATCCTTGTGTTAACACTCACCCTGTTGTCCTCCTGCTCAGTCGAGCTGTAAAATGGCGTCTGGCAGTCTGACTTCATATTTGGACTTTAACACCCTCACCTGTCTGCAGCTCCTCCTCTTGAGTCATAACCAGCCTTATCAGCTGAACCAATAAACGTTCAGTAAGATAGAAAACACATGCAGCTAAAAACAAGCTCAACAAAGTTATCAAAATACGACACAACATCCACACATCAGCATCCATAGGAGACGCCACAACATCAATGACCATAGGATACAATTAAATCTGCTTTAACACAACACTAAACACATCCTAAAGTAACTTAAAGGGGACCTATCATGCAAAATGCACTTTTGTACGTCTTTTATACATGAATATGTGTCCCCGGTGTTCCAGGGAACTCACCAAGTGTCAGAAAACACAACCCTCTCTATTTTCTGCAACGGATCTGATAAAAACTGATCCAGATTTGAACACTGTCCTGACGTCAGGACGGTGGCGCTACGGCTATTGGGCCAACTCTCCACCTATCAGGGGAATGTGGGGTTGGGCCACGGCCGGCCATTGCCACTCGAAAGCGCTGGAGACGCTGTAGTACATATGCCAGGCCTGTAAGTGGCGCTGTAGTCTGCCACAAAAGCAGCGAAGAAGACTTCCCGCGCATGGTTGCCATGGTTTCCCTTCTGTTTATTCTCCGCTGTGGCTTTCTTTCTCCCTCCCCGAGGCAAGCGTTTGCTCCCGCTGCTTTAATTCAATGCAATCCCTCCCCGTCGAGGCAAGCACTGTAATTCTCTCCGGTTAGTCCACCAGCAGATGACAAACACCCACCTCTCCGCCTCTTCCAAGGAACGAGGGGACCGTGCGGCAGAGTTTCAGTTTCAGTTTCTTTCGCCGGTCAAGATGTCCGTTAAAGTTTAAATCTTCCGGACAAAATGAGAAAAGTGCCGGTCAAAGGTCTTCTTTGTTATTTATTGAGCTTTAAAACAAATGAATAACGACTCTATATAATAAAACACGGAGGACGGAGATCTCTTCTTCTCCCCCTCTTCTGACAGCCCAGCAGCTGATCAGAGCACGCCTCCCCTCTCCTGCAGGGGGGCGTGGTCAGCAGAATCAGACCCGTAGACAGCACATAGAGCGAAATGAGGCATGGCTAAAATGCATGATCTGTTTGGTATTTTGAAAACAGAAACGTATAAATATACCTTATATAGGTATGGCCCTACAATATATCATTTAAATATATATAGCATGATAGGTCCTCTTTAAATCACAGGAGTGAACAAACTTCTCCGTTTCCCCTCTTCATTTCTCATACATTTAAAATAAATGCACATTAGCTCATCACCATGTTCAAGTCTGCATACATTAGCTCACAATGCTTTGGCGGGTTTACAGCGGCCACAATGCGCAAGGCATTTAGCTTAGCCGCGATTAGCTTAGCCACCATTAAGCTGAACTTAGTTTACTGTGAAAAGTACGACGATCATTTTAGCCGGCCCGGCTAAAATAACTGGATGGCCTACCTGCCTGTCAGCCTTCCATCTGTGCACAAACTTATCTCGTCCTCACCTCATTGGTCATGTGCGCGTTCGTGTGTGTTGGAGGAGGGGCTCTGTAAGGAAGTGGCAGATTTTCTCCGATTGTGTATTTTCAAATTCTAGCGATCTCGAGCCGGTTTCTCAAACTTACCTACCCCACCTTTAAAGCTCCCATGTCATGCTTTTCCGGTTATTACCCGTCCCCTTGTGTTATGAAGGTTTTTATGCATGTAAACGGTGTGCAGAGTCAAAACCCTCAAAGTACACCCTGTAGCGAGTAAAACTCTAACACAGAAAATACCTCCCCAAAACGCCTCGTTGGAGATACGTCACTGCCCATTTGAGTCTTCCATTTAGTTCCGGGTACGGCCTGATGTCATGCGGTACCCGGAACGAAATGGACCAATCCCGAAGAGCTATGGCCACACCCAGCGGCGCTGGCCGCACCCTCTGCCAGCCTAACATTTACTGTTGGAAGCTCTGGTTCAGTTCACAATCGATCCAGTCATGCCACTGCCAAGGACCTGTTTCCTGAAATGTGAGGAGAAATCTGAGCTGTTTGTCCTGCCGACGGAAGAACCACCACGAAGTCAGTGGTTGAAATTTATTTTTAACACTGTTCCTTCAGAGGTTCGAAGAACCGGCATTTCACAGACGAAAGCTTCCAAAACATTGCCCAGTTTGAGGCCGGATATGCACAGCTTGTTTGGACCGTTTGGAGCAGGGGAAGATTCGGGTACACAACCTGTAAGTTTGCATTGTTATTTGTGTATTTATCAAACAAGGTATCTACCACTACTGTTTAAATGTGTAAACTGTGTCGGACTGCTAAGCCATTGACACAGTGCTAACTGTGCTAACTAAGTTGCTAGCGTTTCCATATATCAACTCTAATATCAGCAGATGGCCTTGCATACATGTATCTCATAGCAGGAGAATGTCTGCATTCACAAACAAAATACCTATTGACAGTATACTCCGGGTGATTTGCCGTGCGGTCAGTCGCAAAACGTAATTACATTATAGCTGGCGTAGCGTGTATGCTACCGATCTAACCAACGGAGCTAGACATGGGTTTGCTCGGAAAAACATTTGTGTTATGCTACGTTGCTAGCGTTTAAATATATCAACTACAATGTCAGCAGATGGCCTTACATGTTTGTCATGGCAGGAGAATGTCTGCAGTCACACACACGGAATACTCATACAGTATACTCCGGGTGATTTACCGTACATTGTGACAGTACATGTACATACTGCATGTATAGCTAACGTGGCTAGCTATACATGCTAGCGCAAAACAATGTATTCATGCAAGTTACAATGTATGACCGAACGTAGCAGAATACCCGTATAAGATTGTAATTATAAACACGTTATTGCTAGCCTAATATGAACCACTATAGCTTTTGTTCATAGTAGTTTTATTACACTCCATTATAGTTGCCGTTCCTCCAAGCTAGCGTTCATATCGTGTTAGCTACCAAAGTAAACAAGAAAGCTAGGTTAGCATATTAGCTGGCAAGCTGTTCATTAGATGGATTAGATAGATCCACACTCCTACCACTACTACTACTAACGAATCTAAAACAACTAAGTTTCTCTAATATTTTGTGATTTGCATTTGATTTCGTCCAGCCAGATCCTGGCGGAAAATACATCACGGGGACCGGACTACCACACTGATGCCTCGTGCTAAAAAGCCCCGGCTGCGCCCAGGCAAGATACGGGGAGGAATGGATGATATACCGTGTATATATGTATATTTATGTTCATTTTGTACATTTCTAAAAATAAAGTTTAATGGAAATACTTAGTAGGCCTATCCTTTCTTCCCTGAATTATTTGCTCCTATAACATATCATTCATATATAGCAAACCATGATTTGATTTCTCATCAAACAGTAGTAGTTTATTACAGGTAAAAATAACTTACTCTTTGTTATGACCGGCTCGTAGGCCACAACAGAAAGACAAGGAGACATACACGAGTTTACAAAACCACGGCACATTTATTGTGGTAAATGCAGAGATAGGTGGTCGAGGGGAGAGGATCGCCGAGTTCGTCCTTCTGCAGCCGCTTTGGAGAGAGACAGGGGCCGCCGTGTGACTCCGGACAGCTGGCTAGCACCTCGGCTCCGGCCAGGTGTCCGTGATCGCGCTGATTAGCCTCTTCAGCTCCACCCCATCGTAAGACCTGCAACACACCTGCACAAAGGCCCTGGGGCCGTCACACTCTTCTATAACAACAGTTGTAGGTACAGTTCGGTTAGTTAGCGTATAAAATATACGGCTGTACCGACGCCATTATAAGACTGATGTTCCGCTGAGAGCGAACCGAAAATAGCACTGTTAGACATGGGCGCAGCCTCTCTGGTGGTTGACTAATCAGAACAGAGTGGCCGAGCTGACCAATCGGAGCACACTAGGCTCACGGGGAGGGGGGGGCAAGAGCTCCAACGAGTCGTTTAGTGGAGAAAGTGAATACTGCTGAATACACATACTTTACAGAGATGCTGTAGAAGTAGAACGTGTTCAAAATGTAAGAAGTAGAAAGTACAGGTATTTGTGTTCTAAATGTAAGAAGTAGAAAGTACAGGTATTTGTGTTCAAAATGTAAGAAGTAGAAAGTACAGGTATTTGTGTTCAACATGTAAGAAGTAGAAAGTACAGGTATTTGTGTTCAACATGTAAGAAGTAGAAAGTACAGGTATTTGTGTTCAACATGTGAGAAGTAGAAAGTACAGGTATTTGTGTTCAACATGTAAGAAGTAGAAAGTACAGGTATTTGTGTTCAACATGTGAGAAGTAGAAAGTACAGGTATTTGTGTTCAAAATGTATGAAGTAGAAAGTACAGGTATTTGTGTTCAACATGTAAGAAGTAGAAAGTACAGGTATTTGTGTTCAACATGTAAGAAGTAGAAAGTACAGGTATTTGGGTTCAACATGTAAGAAGTAGAAAGTACAGGTATTTGTGTTCAACATGTAAGAAGTAGAAAGTACAGGTATTTGTGTTCAACATGTAAGAAGTAGAAAGTACAGGTATTTGGGTTCAAAATGTAAGAAGTAGAAAGTACAGGTATTTGGGTTCAACATGTAAGAAGTAGAAAGTACAGGTATTTGTGTTCAACATGTAAGAAGTAGAAAGTACAGGTATTTGTGTTCAAAATGTAAGAAGTAGAAAGTACAGGTATTTGGGTTCAACATGTAAGAAGTAGAAAGTACAGGTATTTGTGTTCAACATGTAAGAAGTAGAAAGTACAGGTATTTGTGTTCAACATGTAAGAAGTAGAAAGTACAGGTATTTGTGTTCAACATGTAAGAAGTAGAAAGTACAGGTATTTGTGTTCAACATGTAAGAAGTAGAAAGTACAGGTATTTGGGTTCAAAATGTAAGAAGTAGAAAGTACAGGTATTTGTGTTCAACATGTAAGAAGTAGAAAGTACAGGTATTTGTGTTCAACATGTAAGAAGTAGAAAGTACAGGTATTTGTGTTCAACATGTAAGAAGTAGAAAGTACAGGTATTTGGGTTCAACATGTAAGAAGTAGAAAGTACAGGTATTTGTGTTCAACATGTAAGAAGTAGAAAGTACAGGTATTTGTGTTCAACATGTAAGAAGTAGAAAGTACAGGTATTTGTGTTCAAAATGTAAGAAGTAGAAAGTACAGGTATTTGGGTTCAACATGTAAGAAGTAGAAAGTACAGGTATTTGTGTTCAACATGTAAGAAGTAGAAAGTACAGGTATTTGTGTTCAAAATGTAAGAAGTAGAAAGTAC